GGCCGTTTATCTTTGAAGATGAATTTAGACACGGGAGGTCAAGAATGAAAACAAATTAGAGAAGTGAAGGAAGTTGATTAAGAGTAATACTGACACATCCTCTCTCGTTTGTGCCTTACTGAGTGAGTTGACCCTTTCTTGGACTGAACAGCAATCAGAGCTCAGAGAAAATGAATTGCCAATAACCTGAGTCTTTCATGGATGGTCTCTCTCAGTGAGTGACGAAGCCAATTTTGAACAGCTTGAAGGGCTTATCAGTCTCACACAAATCTTACATAGTTCTGACAATATAGAGAAAATCATTCTGAAAAACCACCGCAATTCCTATAAGTGAAGTATTGTATTAGTCTAGGTATTTTAGAGAAACAAATCCACAGCAACTCATGTATAAGAGAGTTTTATGTAAAGAAAGTGTGCATCATGAAAACATCCCAACCCAATGCTGCCCAAGCCCACAAGTCCAACATTAACCCATTAACCCAACACCAGTCCACAAAGTCCTCCACCTCACAAAACAGAGGTAATGATGCCGACTGCAGGAGGAAAGCTGAGTCAGTGAACGAACAAGCATCTCAGCACTAGCAGGGGTCTCCACACGGCTGCTCCAGCACCCAGGGCTGCATCAGGATAGGTCCATGTGCTTCTCCTTGGGGATGTCTTATAGGAAGTCAATCTTGCAAGCTGAAGCAGGGAACTGCTAAGGCAGCTGCACCCTGGTGCGACCACCACAAAGCAAGAAACCCGAGAGCTAGAAAGGCGAGGCTCACCACCCATTTATCCCTCCACCTTTCAATTAGCCCCACATGTGATTATCAGCCAGGTTGGCATAATTAACTAACTCAAGTATGAATTCGGATAATGAAACAGGCTTTCGTGAAATATTTTCAGTCACATTTTTATTTACCTATAGTGAGTGCAAGTGAAATTTTGCTGAAGATAATTAAAATGTGTATGATAAGCAAATGATTTGAGAAGCTGGACTATATGAACAGGAATACAGCTTCAGATTTAGAGGAAACACATTAAATTCTGTAATATGTTCAAACTTGCTTGCTGAAAACAGAGGACATGATGCATTTGTTGATGAAGATGAAAGACTATATTGTCTTCTGTATGGATTATACCTCAACATACAGAAAACCAAAATCGTCGCACTAAGCAGCATCATGACAAACTAAGAAAAGACTGAAATTGTTAAGGATTTCATTTTGATTGGTTCCACATCAATGCCCATAAAAGCAGTAGTCAAGTAATCAAAAAAGCAAAGCAATCACTTTGAAGACTAGGTGTGCCTAACCTAAACCATGATATTTTTAATAGCTTCATCTGCACTTGAAACCTGCAGATTGAAAAGGGAAGACTGGAGAAGAACTGATGCCTTTGGATTATGATACTGGAGACATATACCATAGGTTGTTAGAAGAAGGAACCAATACGTCTTGGAATAAGTATAGCCAAGATGCTCCTTAGTAGCAAAGGCAGTGAGATTTCATCCCAGGTTCTTTAGACATGCAGTGAGGAGAGACTAATCCTCAGAGAAGACAGCATGCTTTGTGAATTCGAGACTTGGAGGGAAAAGAGGAACACCCTCAAAGACATGGAGCAATAAGCTCAACCCTAGCAACAGCTGTGTGGACGGGGCTGTTATGCCCTCTGTTATGTGTTACAGGGATTTGGAACGCTCCTGTTTGGGTGGGTCAATAGAACCTCACAACAACAATAACAGATGCTTGTTGTTGTTGGTTGACATCAAGTCGGTTCTGACCCATACTGACCCTCTGTACAATGGAGCAAAACACTGCCCAGTCCTGAGCCATCCCCACAATCACATTCAAACCCATCGCTGCAGTCACTGTGTTACTTTAGCCAGGGGAAGCCCTGCCTTTTTTTCGCTGCCCTCTGCTTTACCAAGGATGATGTCCAAATGTTTATGAATAACCAAATAATACTTAACATCATAAGTGCAATGGATATTTTACCTTCTTTGCACATTTCACATGAACTCATTTTATATAGGATGAATCACACCACTGCTGAGTTATAGTTGTCCCCTTTCTTCAGTCGCACTCGTCACTTCTCTGGGCCACCTCCTACCTTCTTCTCCAAACATTTAGTGAAAGCTATTCTCATTGATTGAAATCCAGATAGTATATGGTTAAATATACACAAGAATGTTGGATACGGGTGAACATATTTTGTAGTTTAAAACTAGTAGTAACACTGTCCACAAGTAACAGGGCTGAAGCTGCTCATTTATTTCACTCATGCAATAAATAATCTGTGAGATCTTGGGAACTCAGAGGTGAACTATACATTATATTTCCTTAAGGAATTCTCTTAAGACCAACAAGGCAAAGTAGAAAATGTTATAGATGGGTGGGTGATGGTGATGGTGGTGCTAACGTAAGGACCAGGTTGGTGCTTATTATGAAAGAAGTGTCCTAAGTAGGTAGTCTTGTTTTTTCCATCATTTTATGGGGAGCTCCTCCAGATATTGTAATATTCTAAAATTCAATTAGATCAAGCATAATTGTACAACTTCTGCCACCATCAGTTTCAAACAATTTCTTTCTTTTTGAACTCTTTGAGAGCAGCTCCCCTCTGTCTCCTCCATTCTCCACCCTACCCCCCAGGAACCCTTATTATTATTATTTGCCATATCTTATACCATGCAATGTATCCATTCATCTACAATTCTGACATTTGTTTCCCTCAAGTGGGGTTAATATTGCTATTAGTCCCTCTCCCACCCCACCACCACTTCCCATACCCTCAGGAAATTATTACTCCCATTACTATTACTGAAGGGTTTATCTATCTTGGATTTCATGCATAAAGCTATCTTAATTACACAAATGAACATACACAGGTCTAACAAGGTTAATGAGGTTAAACTAAGGCCATTAAAGTAAGGGGAGGAAATATTAAAGAACTAGAGGATAGTTATATGTTTCATCAGTGCTATACTGTACCCTGGATAAATCATCCCTTCCATGTGACCCATCACATGGGAGGAACTGTCCAATTATCTTACAGGTGAGTTTGGGGCCTCCACTTTGTGGTAGACTTTTCTTTCAAAATAATAATTTATAAATTATCAAGGGTTCATGAGGGAGGAGGGAGCGGAGAGGGACGGGGGGAAAATGAGGAGCTGATGCCAGGGGCTTAAGTGGAGAGCAAATGTTTTGAGAATGATGAGGGCAATGAATGTACAAATGTGCTTTACACAATTGATGTATGTATGGATTGTGATAAGAGTTGTATGAGCCCCTAATAAAATGATTTTTTAAAAACAGAGTTTACGGTGGGTAGAAGGAGGTACTCCAGCCTCCCACCCACCCACCCTGGTTATGCAGTGACTGCATATATGGTTCAGGGAGCAGTGGTAGCTCAGTGGTAGAGTTGCTTTCTACTTGGGACTATTCCCAACCAAGCACAGCCACCACCGTGTGTCTGTGAAGACTTGTGTGTTGCTATGATGCTGAACAGGTTTCAGTGGGACTAGTCAGGTTCAGACTAGGGAAAAAAGGCCTCACAATCTACTTTTGAAAAAGAAGTCAGAGGAGATTTTATGGACCACAATATCCAATCTTATTGGGCTTAGGGACTCCATAAGCGAGGTCAATGTGACAGTAACTAACAACATATATGTATAGGTTCAGTTAGATTGGGTGTCTGTTAGGTTTGAGCCACATTTGGGGGACCATGAAACATAGCAATGCTTACATGGCTACGGTAGGATCTGAGTCCTAGTATCACTGCCAAGATGTATTAAACAGCTGCTCTAATTTGCCACAGTGTGTAACTTGAATGAGATGCCAATTTAGTTTTTAATCCTGTTGCAAATTTACCAGTGCTTAGCACATTCCCGAAAGATTGTTTGAAAAGCAAAATTTGAGTGTTGGACTTTCTCCAGTTTATCTGAAGAGTATGAGAATATTGGGGTAGAAAGGCTGGGGGGTGGGGTGGGGAGACAGATGAGAAATAGAATATACTTAAACCATTTCTCTTTTGGATTAGCGTTTCTGAACAGCATTTCAGAGTATTTAAATTCTAAAAGTGTGTGTGTGGGGGGGGTTAATTCAAACTGATTTTAAAATATGTTTTAAAAATGTTTGTGAATCTTTAGCTTTTCTTCATTGATAATCACTTCTGGTCTTTTTGAAGTGAAGTACACTTTTTAATCAGCAACTATGGCTGCTAAGCAAACATCAGAACAGACCTGAATTTTTAAATGTCAGGGAAGCAGAAAGGAAGCCCTAGTGGTGGAGTAGTAGGTTATGTGTTGGGCTGCTAATTGCAAGGTCAGCAATTCAAATCCACCAGCTGCTCCATGGGAGAAAGATGAGGCTTTCGCTTTCTACTCCTGTTAAGATTGACAGTGTCAGAAACCCACAGGTCAATGCTGCTCAGTCCCAGGGTTTCTCTGAGTCAGAAAGGACTGCATGGCCGTGAGCTTGGCCTTTGGAGTGAAGTCGGGGGATAACTGGAATGGGAAAAAACAGTGGTCACAGCCTTGGACTAAAACACTAGAGAACGGGCTTGTGCACCCTCACGGAACTATGGTATAACATTGATTATTTCAAGGACAGTGGCGAGCGACACACATTCAAAACGTTGTCTCAGCTCACTTCTTTGAGCACCGTCATTTCCAAGTCCGTTAGTCAAGAGCTTTGGTTGCTATGCAATGCACTCTGCCCTTGTTTATTATGAGGGAGATTCAATTTCTACCAGGGCTTAGACCCATTCGTTTTCTGGTTCCAATTATTGTCCTTGTTCACGCACATTTAAAAAAGTCTGGTCAGTTCCCCAGTTGTTTGACTGACCAGGAAGAACTAATTCGAAGCCCTGCTTTCACTCTATAATGAAGTAATTGCCACCATTGAATGGACTGTATATCTAATTAAAGAATTATTGAGCTTTTAATCTCTGAATGTTACCGATTTAACGAGCATTGGGAAAGCAATTGCTAAGCAGATAGCATCCATAAAGTGTCTATTTTATGCAGTGGTTTTGTTGCCAGGCTTTCATAAAACTCACTTGGGTCACAAGCCAGGCTTCAGCGTGAACTCGGCCTTGTGCGGAGGCAAGGACGGAGGACATCTCTCCCCAGAGAGATCAACATAAGGGCGCGTGAGGAAACGGCGGCTCGGCTGGACTTTAAACTGCACGGTGCAGCGCTTTGGAAAGGGCGCCAGCCTTGATTTATCCTGTCCCTTCGTGTCTGTATTTCTGTCTGCTCCCTACTTTTAGGAGAGTGTGCGTGTGTCTTTCTGGGTTTCCGGGGACTAAGCCACGTGTGGTGGCCGCCAAGGTCCCGGCCACATGACTCTCCGTTCCGGCCAAATGGCGCTGCCCAGCAGACGTGGCCATTCTTGTGGCGGGACAACTGAGCACGTGACCCTGGCCAAGGTGCACCCACCGCTGCAAACACGTGGGGGCGGGCGGTGCCTAGGTGGGGGGTTGTTTGGGCCCCTGGAGTTAGCCCCGTCTAGTCCTGGGAACCGAACGCTTCCCTTCCCCCCTCCATTCCCTTTAGCTTCCCCTGGTTTTACAAACCAGCTGCTCTAGCGATCTGGGTTTGTCCTTTTTCCTGCCTGCTGGGTTTCCGTTGCTGAAGCCTAGGCCAAAGGCATTCGGGAGCCACGCCCCTAAGTAACTGCTAACTTTCACCTTTCAGCAATACAGCTTTCAGCACATTTTGGGTCCAGCTAGATTCCAATTTCCCTAACATGTTCCCTGAACTACTGACCAATCGCTCCTCCCCTTCCTAGCTTCAGGAGTCTGCTCCTGCCAGCGGGCGCCTCGAAGGCTATTGGGAGGCCACTCCAAGCAGTGGTCTCGCCTTTGGGGTCGGTGAATTACCGGGGCCAGTTATTCACTCTTAGGCTCTGTACGGTCACCCATGCCGGTGGCCAGTGCTTGCTGTCCAGAAAACAATCGGGCCCAGTTTTCCGGCAAAGACTGGGGTCCCCCCGACCTGGAGGCATCAGCACTCAGTAATTTGTTGTTGTGTTTTCGAGATGGGGATCAGCAGTTCGACATTTTACAATAGGGGGCAGGAGGTGCAGGTTCAGGAGGAGAGAAGGAGGGGCATCACGCATGCTCCAGTGCTGGCCGCACTTGCTAACTGCCTGTCAACCGCCTCCCAGGTTTCCCAGACCCGTGACCAAAGTGCCAAATGCTATGTGTGTCAAGAACCGGGCCACTGGACACGGAACTGCCCAGGGAAGATTGGCCCTGTCCGGCCAGCGCAGCAGCAGAAGAGCTGTAGCAGGTCTGGAACCTCGGGTGAGCAATCAGTGTGGCAGCAAGGTCAGTGGATGCCCTCCTAGCTGCTGGGCTGCTTCTCCTGTCCTCACCTTCTTCCCCGACCCTGGGCACCAATCACAGGTGACACCGTGGAAGCTGTTGCACCCAGGCCCCTCGGAAGTGGAGCACACAAGACAAGCACCCGTGAGAGCTGTTGGGGGTGTTAAGGGCTCCACAGAAAGCCTACCTCAGACCCCTCACAGCCTTTAAGCCAGTGAATGCTTTTACACCATTCTGGTGTTTAAGGTGAACTAGCACCGTGCCCGTCAGTCCTGAGATTTCCTCATTTCTAAACTTCCCGGGACACTAACACACACCTCCCAGGGCACTACCATCTCACAGCCTTACCTCGGTCTCACCTACACTGTCCACCTGTTTGTTTCTTCCAGAAGTCCTCAGGGTACTAATGTCTCTGAACCAAGCGTGCCACCTCCAGGGCCACCAGCGCCTGAGCCACCTCGACTTTCGCCATCCTGGGCCCTGAGCGGACAACCCCTCCCCACAGAGTAGGAAGGGTGTGGACCCAGAGCCCCACTTCGTCCTTTTGCCAGCAGGAAGCAGCTAGAGATGTTGTCGCCCAGGACCCCAAAGATTTGGCTCCATACTTCTTCAGGGGGGAAATACTAGGTTCAAGCTCCAGGCCAGGAAGGGGTGGTACACCTAGGTGGGCGTTGCACCTGGACTGACCCATCTAAACCAGGTGAATTTGGTTCAGCCAATGGGGTCCCCCAGTATCGTCGACCATGCCTCCCTACGGTGGGCCCTGAAAAGCCTGAAGTTTGCTCTCTGGCTCTCTCCCAGTGGCTGCTACACAGTGCAGCGCGGCCCGGCCACCCTCCTGCACTGTGCCGCAGACTCTGTCTGGCTTGTGTTCCATTTACTGTAAAACCTGAAACTACTTTTAACTTTCATAAAACTCACTAGGATCACAAACCAGGTTTCGGGTGTGAATTCTTTCTCGCATGACGTCAAGGACCGAGGTATATCTCTCCCACAGGAGAGCGAGATCTAACCGCTTCTTATTAGTGTCAGAGAACTGTTGAGTCTAGGTCAGCAACATCGGTCTCCTTTTCATTTTGACTGAAAACAAAACTAAGCTTCAATAGATGTGTGAGACCACAGTCTCCCCCCACCCAGCAGCAGGTCACAGCAAGCAGCTGTAAGGAGAGACTCCGGTCTGTTTTCTCATCTTCCCAGGCCCTTCCAAACAGGAGACAGACCAAAATGGAAGCTACTGAGTGACCACAGCAGCACAATTTCATTCACTCCAACTCACGTGACTCAATTCTCCATCAGTGTGGTTGAGATTGGCTGGTAGCCCGCAGCCCCAGTATGAGTATTGATTGTCCATGTGCCCCAGCAGCCTGCAGCACACAGCTCCTCTCGCACTGTACTGAGAGCAAAACCTCTTTCCTTAGAAGCAGGGGTGGCTGGGAGAAGACTGCTGACACTTGGGGACGTGGGGGGCTTGGTTGTGATTTGCTAGGTTAGTCAGGATTTTCCACATTTTGGAGTTCTTTGTTAATGCCTTTTATTTCGTCTTAGCTTTGTCAAATTGCATCAGTGCTAGCTTCGTGCCTGGGGGTATCCCAGAGGCAATTCCTGGTTACTTAGAGGATTAAATAGGAAGGGATAAGACTGTGAACATGTCAAGGTGCTAGAAGATGATAGGCTTCTTTTAGCTGGCTGCTCAGCGAGGCAGGTGGCAGCCCTCAAGAAGTACTGCTGCATGTTCCACTGCCTGGTAGTGCTAGCTCCGTACCTTGCTTTACTCAACTGCTAAAAATAGCAGCAAATGAAATGAAAGCACAATTTCACAGAAGTCCTGGGCTATTTTCTGCCATCATGCAAACCTTTGTCTTAGAGCATTAACTAAATTTCCATAGAGCTTGTGTAGGAAGTCTATTTGGTACTTACCTTTTGGTCCCACATACACTGAGATTGCTTTATGCACTTCCTCCCTAGTGATGCTGAGCCCTTCCAACTCCCGGGGACGTATACGGGGTTTCAGAGCCGGTACATCTCCACCACAGCAGACACAGCCTCATCTTTCTCCTGAAGAACAGCTGGTGGGTCTAAACTGACAACCTTGCAGTTGGCAGCCCAGCGCCTAACCCACAGCACTGCCAGAGATCCTTTGTGTTTTCCCTTAGGAAATGCTAACTAAATATTTATTAAACCATGTACGTTAATCTGATTCGGCTGAGTGGTAACCTTTTATTTTTGTACAGCACACAATAAATGCTCCCTCCCCTTAAATAATTGGCTTTCCTATAAACACTGACATTTACAATCTATATGTAAATTATCCTGTTCTCTCCATGGCTAGAAACCTCATCTTCTTCTCTCTTTATACTAACTTGAATTATTATCAGTTTCTTGGAACAATCCGCTTTAGACTTGTCAACTTGGACCCTAAATTTAGTTGTGAGGAATGTCAGCAAGAGGAGAAACCAAAGCTAATGGAAAACCTGAATTATCTCCCAAATCTAGGAAATTTATGGAAAACCAACTTACAAGTTGTAGCCAGCAACAAACCGAGCATTCTGCAGCAGGAAGTTTCCTTGCATGTTTATTGTGATGAGATAGTGCTCTTGTAATGTTGTCAGCAAGCTTCTTGTTTCCATTTGTGTGTAATAAAAATGAATTAATGTTCTCACGGGTCACTTAATACCCAGACCACAAAATGCAGCATAAACAATCCGCGAAAAAGAAACGTGTGAGGGGCTGTGGGCATCTGTGCTTGCGAGGGTGGGGAGACGACGCATGAGGTCTTCCTTTTGGTGCTTTCAAAGGATTCTCATGTCAATTGCCAGAAAAACTGGTTAATCTTCTTATTAAGTCAACTTCTATGTTGTCTAAGGATGATTCTAAGGATAAGGAAGAGAGAGAGACCCACAAGACAAAGCTTTTCAAAAGCTCATGTCAATCTGAAAAGAAAACCACAGCAAAATGAACAAGAATTACATCAGAAAGAAGTGGGATGCATACAACATATTTAAAATGGAATGTTTTAGACTAAAAACAAAATCAAGAGTTCTTTATCAAATGTCGTTATCTAATGTTCCTTTTATTTGAATAGCAGTGGAGGGATAATTTCGCCTTCTGTAAATAAGATAGGGAGTAGTAGCACTTTATTGAAGCATTCACACAGGTGGGAAGCAGTTAAAGTGTGTAAAGCCACCTCCTTCGTGCCTGCTTCTTAGGCTCTTCTGGGTCCTACGGTCTTTGGAGGGGCAGAACGGTGTCCAAGTGACATGTGTGAAATGTGCAGGCTCCAGTGCCGGCTCTCCCGCGTGTCCCGGCTGATGTTAGGGAAGGGGCTTGAGCATTTTAGCATTGCTTTTATCATCTGCAAAGGGGAGCTGCTGGGTACACCTGGGTCTCCACCTGCTGCTCCACAGGAGAAAGGCTGAGGCTCTTTGTTCCTGTGCAGATTTCCAGCCTTGGAAACCCATAGGGGCTGTCCTACTTTCCCCCTAGGGTCTCTAGGAGTTGGGATCAATCAATGCCAGTGAAGTCTATGTTTGTGTGTACTCCAGACAGATGACGAAAATAAAATAAGACTTAAGAAACGTTTAGTACAATAGCTAGTCCATAATCACAAATCAATATCATTATCTGGTCTCAATCTGCTGCCTTTTTCCGAGAAACATTTCTCACTGTGGCACAATGGACAAGTGGGTAACACGTAAACAGCTCTAGGAAGTGTGGTTTGAGATGGAGAGGGTCAGGGGCACCTTCGGGTACTCCAGCCTTCTCTTCATATGGAAAAGCCCAAGTTCTGCAGCTTTGCTTCATCTCCCAAAACAGTGTTGGTGGTCAGGGCAAAATATGACAAAATAACAATTTATAAATTATCAAGGGCTCATGAGGGAGGGGGGACGGGGAGGGAGGGGGAAAATGAGGACCTAATGCCAGGGGCTTAAGTGGAGAGGAAATGTATTGAGAATGATGAGGGTAATGAATGTACAAATGTGCTTTACACAATTGATGTATGTATGGATTGTGGTAAGAGTTGTATGAGCTCTAATAAAACGATTTAAAAAAATGTAAAAAACAAAACATAAAAAACCAGTGTTGGTGGCAGGATTAGATTCTGGGTGACACAGGAATGGTAAGTGGAGCCCTAGTCTTACTGCTCCCCTCTTGAATCACTCTCATCACATGGTTTATATTTCCATTCATTCATTCATTCTCTCTCAGGGGCTAGGCATTGGAGATAGGAATTAGATATAATCCCTGTTCTCAAGGAGCCCACACAAGGGTAGGGACTCAAGGAGGGTGGGGTGGTAGTGGTGGTAGAAGACTAAAGAGATCATTATGCTACAAAGCACAAGTTCAATGCTTAGGATAAGCAAGAGAGTATGGACCAAGGGCACCAAGGACTTCTATAAGCGTTTCCTTACATTGAACTTTATCCTCTCACTGTCAAGATCTCTTTGGCAAGTTGTTTATACCAACATACAAAGGAAATTTTATTGTGCCACTACTTAGAACAAGGCTTTCAGTAGCATTGTTCTTTGGCGTCCACCCTCCCCCAAGTCTAACCTATAATCATCCTGAAAGCGTACTGTGTACACACTTCACTGCTAACTTCAACAATGGGTCCCCATTTCACCCTAGCTTGAGGGCTGCAGCTCTTTTAAAGTGCACCCAAATCAAAAACCAAACTCACTCCCATTGAGTCAATGTAGACTCATAGTGTCTGCAGGACAGGCTAGCACTGTCTATCCTCTGTGAGTTTCTGAGATTCTTTTTTTTGTTTTGAGACTGTAAGTATTTACAGGAGTAGAAAGCCTTTTCCTTCTCCTGCCGAGTGGCTGGTTGTTCGAATTGCTGACCTTGCAGCTAGCAGCCCAACCTGTAATTACTGTGCCACCAGGGCTCCTCCTTAAAGATACCAGACTCTGAAAAGACCTAGCTGAGATGCAACTGGTTTGGTGAATTCAACCTTTGCAAGCTCGTTCTGTGCATGCGTGTGTGCGTGTGTGTGTGTGTGTGTGTGTGTGTGTGTGTGTGTGTAGGAGAGGAATGGTAAGCAACTTTATTTTTCTTTTACTTTGATAACTCTTGGGTAAGTATTCAACTACTATCTCCAAGGTCAGTGGTTCAAACCCACCAGATGCCCCGAGGGAGAAAGATGTCTATCAGCTCTTAAAAAGATTTGCAATGGTGGAAAGCCTATATAATGGGACAGGGGTGTTGTCAGCCAGAATCAACTTGATGGCAACAGGTTTTGGTTTGGTTGCCTATCAATTGGCCAACTGATCTTTGGTTAGTCCATGCCTTGCAACACACACACAATGTGTTCACGTTCTTATATGGCTTTTAGCCCAGTTCTTTGGAAGCTATTGATGTGTCATAAAGTATCACAAATACATCTTCTGATGTTAGATGGTAAGTGCTATTTCAAATGAGGCCCATTATTGTGCTTATTGTTATTGTTAGGTCTTGAACATGTTAAAAGAAAACTCCACCCACTTGTTGGTGTCCTGAGGTGCCATGGTGTCCATTCTGGCTCCTAGCAACACTGTACAACAGAACAAAACACTGCCCAGTCCTGCACCAGCCTCACCATTGTCCATCAACGAAGCCCTGTTCAATCTATCTCATTGAAGGTCTTCCTCTGTTTTGATGCCCCTCTACTTTACCAAGCATAACGTCCACCTCTAGGGACTGCTTTCTCCTGACAGCAAATCTAAAGTACGAAAGAGGAAGTCTGCCATCCTTGCCTCTAAGGAGCATGCTGGCTGTACTCCCTCCGAGACAGATTTGTTTGTTGTCTTGACAATTATATTGACACTGATTTGGGTACATTTATTAAAGGGTTTACGATTGTAGAAATCGCCACCGATATTCAATTTTCCCTTTGGTTTTCTCGTATTTCTAAAGTGGTTTCAAATGATCAGCAA